TTAATCTGACGCACTCGAGAATATCTGATGATCAATTTTTTTTACTAATCTGATCCTTTACCCTTCACGGGCGGCCTTATATAAGGGGCTTATATTTGGTGGAGGTACTTAACCGGGTACAAGGTATCCCCCTGTATATTACTCTACCGCGCTTTAGTAAATCCCGAAATCCTCGCTTGGGAATTTTGGGAGGCCCTCTGATAGTGCAAGAAGAAGGGTTTATGAAAGAAATAAGAGACATTTGAAATTTAACAATTTTTTATTCATCAAGAAACACCTACCAAAATTTTTACTTTTTTGAAACATTAGACAACAAAATTAAAAATAAATAAAAACCTCACTGAAAAGTAATGAAAGAAGACATCATGTCTAACTCGCTGTATGAAAACCCCAGTCAAATTCACTGACACTGAAGAAACAAAAATGTTCTTTTTCTATTTGTTGAGCCAGATTCCCATTTTCTCCCTTTTTTGATAAATTATGAAGAATGCACCAATATTGTATTTGTAAGCTGTGAAAAATAGTAATAATGTCAAAATACGAGTTTATATGAGTTGACAGCAGATTATCTCAATTTTCGAGGTGAACTTACTATAAGATGATTGAATTAATATAATTAGGAATGAGCCCGTGAATCATTCTAAAAGAGGAATTTTGTACGACATACGATGTACGAGAAATACCAATAATTCCAATATGTTTCTCGTACCTATGTTTATTTATATTACAGTGTATGTGCAGATCGCAATGAACGAGAAACATTCTCTGAGAGTGAATTGGCAAAGATTACATAAATTGAAAGTACTTAAGACTCGATCAAACGGAGCAATCTTTATCGATATCTTCCAATTTTAAATCAGACTACGATATATGTGGAATACCAATAAACCAGGGCCGGAATAAGTTTGGATGTACTGAGCTTTGATTGACGGCCTTTCAAAGTTTCATATTCCAAGTTCTATTAATTTACTTAAACAATAATCATATGCGAAAAAGCGAAGTATTCGTTAAAAAATATATTTTTTGCTAGAAATACTTTGTCGGTATGATCATCAGGTAAATGAACTATGATGTTGTTGGATGGTCGAACAAAATATCAAAAAACTAATGTTTTTATCGAAAAATAATGTTCATTCACTTTACTATGCAGAGTGTGGTGCCGAAAACGAAACAGGTCGAACATCTTCAAGGTACATTCATTGAGAAAATGCAAAATCGCCGGCTCTCCTGATCTCTAGACAGGCGTATTTACCAACTACGCTATCAGAGTCACATCTCAATTTCTATCTTTGGTGGTACACTTGCTTTTCATCTCCCATTTTGCAATTTCAAGACTGTTTAAAGCATCCAGCCTCTGTAATTGTCTTCAATTCTATGGACTTTCTCCAAAACATGCTGGTCTACGAAATCAAGGACTTCTCTTGGAAACTGGTGTTAACAGCACGCTCCTTTTATTTAGGGACAAAACACAAGCACTACAGGAAAATCTTTAAGGCGCTCTGACTGCGAAAGTAGCGATTCATGTTAGATTTGAATCGCTGGAGATTACATTTATTTGGAATACCGTTCTCAGGAAGTTTATTCCACATAAATGCAGTTCTCCGGATGAAAGAGTTCTTGAACAGTAAAGTTCGAGGTGTACTGAGTTGAACCTCAACACCATGAGCAGCTACAGTCGTGTTAGGAATCACACGTTAAAAGGTAAGACCTCGTTAGTCCTTAGCTCGCACAAGTTTGTCAACTTCTGAGAGTTGTCGTTCGTATGGGGGCGACAGCTGATTAACGGAAAAACAAATTTTAAACAGATTTGTTTTTAAACAGTCCGTCGCGTATTTCTGATATTTACCGCCCTTGGTGGAATCAAATGTGCCAAGTCACTTAAACACCTCCCGTGAAAGTATCTGTATTTGACTTTTTCACAATCTTCTCAGCTAACATCATAAGTATAGTCGAAGTAATCTTTATTGTGAACACTTGAAGCTATCGGCGCCCTCAAAGGTCAAAGACACCAATACAAAGAGATAAAGCCGCTGCCAGCTAGTCCACGTGTCTTAATAGTCCAGTTACTTAATAAATCTGTTTAAAATCTGTTTGAAATCTGTTTTTCCGTTAACCAGCTGTCGCACCCCTACGAACTTGTGCGAGCTAAGGGTTAACGAGGTCTTACCTTTTAACGTGTGATTCCTAACATGTTTATTTTTTTTTATTTGTTTAAAATGTGGCGTCCTTGGACAAGGACTAATAGTAATAACGAGTGTAATAACAACGCAGACTTTTTCCTGTGTAGTGACTTCACTAGCCCTGGTGAACAATGCGAAAAAGAGATACCAGCGAATAAAATTCGGATGCATTCGAATATTGAAATACAGAGAGTATGTTTCAATGTATATAAGAATCTACATCTCAATTTTTTTTCTTTGAAATTATGTGGAAAAAAATTGAGGACTGTAATGTTGACTATCATAAAAACATGGAAGCTAATATTTTTGAGGACTGGTTTGAAAACACATTCATCCCAAATTTGGATGCGAATAGTGTAATAGTTCTTGACAACGCTTCCTATCATTCGCGACAGCTCATCAAAGTACATTCTTTTTTTCCAAATTTCGACTTCAAAGTAGTTTCAAAAGGTCAACGAAACTGTTTCTGTTGAAGAAATCAGACTTTTTTTAATGTCATTGATATTCTACCTTTCACAATCGGAAAAAAAAGCAATTGTAAACAAAACTTCATACAAATGTAGAAAGAGAGCACTTCTAATTTATCCCGATAAGTTGCTGCGTGAATTCCGTATATTTTTCAGTACGAGAAATGTGATATCTACCTATCGGTAACTTATCTTATTTAATGAATAATTATTTCTATTAATTGTCATCCGACATCTGTCGAAGAAGTTTGAGAAGAAAACGTTAAGATAAAGTTGATTATTTCAATTCTGAAGAAAAGACAGAGAAAGATTCAGTCCTCAAACAAACAAGGATTACAAAATGGGAGATGAAAAGCATAAATATTGACAAAAGTGTTCCACCAAAGATAGAACTTGGGATGTTGACTCCGATAGCGTAGTTGGGAAATACGCCTGTCTAGAGATCAGGAGAGCAGATTTCGAATCCCGGTAGGATCATAAGTCGACAAATTACTGGTGAAAAATATATTGAATTTACGTAGGAACTTATTGTGGTGAACTTTTTCATATTTTTTTTTTAGATTGTGAAAGGTGGAATATCGCAAAAAGACCAGTGAATAACTGAAATTAATCTCTATTGTATTTCTAATTTTTTCCTCAATATCAGCTTCTTTCTCAAAATTTCTACTTTCATGTCGCGACAGATAAATAAGAAGTGGTTATTTTTAATTTTTCTGTGGCAAATATCCACTTTCATGTTCAGTCCGTCCCTGGGGATACCACCTATCGCAACAAAATGTGTTATTACGGAATAGGTCTTTGGGCGATGCTGTCACTCAGTATTGCCTTTTATTCAACTTGAATTTCTTGTCCATTTGGGTTATATGTGAGCTGGCAAGACAAACATCACCATGTATGGTGTTGTGCTCTTTTCCATATAAAGGCAATCACCATTTTTCCCTACTTGGCAGTCAAATTACTTTCAATGAACGCATTGTTTAGCTTTTCGAGAGCATCGACACGTAATCTGTCGATTGCAATAAACCTAATTGCCAATAGTGGCATCAAAGAAAACATATAACAGGCAATCTTTGGAAGACTTTAAAACAGCCCCTATTTTTATGTTTTGTATTCTATCATTTGTTTTTCTATATTTTTTGAAATCAGAAACCTTGTTCAGGCAATATGTATTATATTTATAAAAATTATTACAGTTTTGGTATTTTTTTTTATTCTTCCTATATTAATTAATTTTCAGCAGATATTCAGCAGATTCAGCAGATATTTATGATAGATAGATAGATAGATAGATAGATAGATATTTATTTAACTATGTAACTCATACATGATATGGTTTATAGCAAGTCAATCACAATTAATATATCATATTGAATGAATATATAATAACATTATCTAAAAGCCTTCAGGTATACAATATAAAATATATCACGATCACATAAATTGGGTAATACACGTCAAAATTGAATTTTTGTCTGAATAAACTCGTCTTTAGAATAAAAACAATGTTCGAGAAGATAATTTTTTACATTAATTTTGAACAATTTCTCGTTCATGGATCTAAATTCGCAGGGCAATTTATTATATAGTTTAAAATCTAATGAATTTTTCTNATATGTACATAGAACTTTTATAGAGCCTTCCCTCAACTCTGAAATTTTATATACGGACTGCATTTTTTGTAGAATTTTTTATACCCAATGTGCATTCAATATTGAGAAATTTAAGTCACTTTATTAATCATAATTGATGAAAAATATGCTGCAATGGAAATATTCCCACCCTCAATTTTCAGTTTTTTCATATCATTCAACCTCCAGGAGTTTATAAGAAAACGTTCAACTTTCATGTACTTCCCCCACACTTTGGCTTTCACGATTCACAGATTAAGACCACTGCTATTAAAGGAGTGCTAGATATTTGAAGCTCATAGGAAGTTCATGAGAGAAAAATGTTGAGCGTTATTCGTAAAATTAACCAAATCAAAATATAGCAAACTTGAATGTCTGATTTTATGTCTCCAATACCTTGTGAAATAATAACTACATGTTATTCGTATGAACATAGAACTGGAGTAAATTGTTTGGTATCTTTCAATAGTAGAAACTCAAAAATCGGCAAGTTTTCCACAAGTTATTCGACTTTCTATTTCTCAAGGCTCGCATCTATTTGGAACGAATGAACCGTAATGTGACTGATAAGAAAACTCTTTAGGGATGTTTTGGTTATTTTGAATATTACCGTAATTATTTTGAAACATTTAATCAGAGAAATGAACTGAATCACACATCACCTTTGTCAACAATATAGATGTTCCTTTTGTATTATAATAATAATTAGAATAATTCATTTTCAGATGAAGTTCTAACGTTTGACGAACGCGCATGAGCAGTAGATATAAAATTGTTGCTATCTCATGCCTGCTAGGATCGAACAGTGAGTACATTTTGCATTAGAGATGATTTATTGTAAGGAAAAAAGCAGTAATAAGAAACAAATTCGAGTGGGTTTATGTTTGAATGCGTTTCTTTAGTAGTAAAATATGAAGATATGTTATTGATTTAAATTCCTGATGAGTTCAACGGATGCATTAACACAATTCTGCTCATAATGTTCAATTTCAATGCGTTACTCATACGAATTGAATACGACGTTTTCAATGGAATTGTTCGTCATAAAACAAACAAAATATAAATGGATAAACACCTTGAAGATTTATAACAGCCGAACACCGTCAACTGTTTCAACTGTTCAATCATAAAAATAGAACATATTATTCCTTTTGAGTTCAGCACACAGGCGATTGTTCGGTTGTAGCTACTAAAAAATCCCAGTACGCAAATATGTGGAAGCAGTTGAATTACGCACAGCGATAAAAATAAAAGAATGTGCAAAAAGAATGTGCATTTCGACTTAAAAGTCGAAATTTCGAGTTTTATCTCGTAATTTCGACTTTTATCTCGTAATTTCGACTTTTATCTCGTAATTTCGACTTTTATCTCGTAATTTCGACTTTTATCTCGTAATTTCGACTTTTATCTCGTAATTTCGACTTTTATCTCGTAATTTCGACTTTTATCTCGTAATTTCGACTTTTATCTCGTAATTTCGACTTTTATCTCGTAATTTCGACTTTTATCTCGTAATTTCGACTTTTATCTCGTAATTTCGACTTTTATCTCGTAATTTCGACTTTTATCTCGTAATTTCGACTTTTATCTCGTAATTTCGACTTTTATCTCGTAATTTCGACTTTTATCTCGTAATTTCGACTTTTATCTCGTAATTTCGACTTTTATCTCGTAATTTCGACTTTTATCTCGTAATTTCGACTTTTATCTCGTAATTTCGACTTTTATCTCGTAATTTCGACTTTTATCTCGTAATTTCGACTTTTATCTCGTAATTTCGACTTTTATCTCGTAATTTCGACTTTTATCTCGTAATTTCGACTTTTATCTCGTAATTTCGACTTTTATCTCGTAATTTCGACTTTTATCTCGTAATTTCGACTTTTATCTCGTAATTTCGACTTTTATCTCGTAATTTCGACTTTTATCTCGTAATTTCGACTTTTATCTCGTAATTTCGACTTTTATCTCGTAATTTCGACTTTTATCTCGTAATTTCGACTTTNGTACAAATCTTTGAAAAACTTTCTCAAAATGTTTCTGCTCATGCGGAAATAATAAAAAAAAATCGATTGGATATTTTATAACTGTCAATCAATTGATGACATTCTCTATCTTCTTACTTTGGATCCTCAAAGTATTTTTTCTTCTAGTTCCTGGTGTACGGTTAGCCTAAGAATGAATAGAATGAATTGAAAATGGAATATAATCTTCGAGCGTTACTCTTTTTTCCACACGTTCTTCCTATACAGAGGGTCAAAATCCTTCTGGTCGGTAGCTAAAGCTGTTAATCAGAACTTTACAAAGTCCACAATTCCACCATTAACACAAGCGGATTGAATTGCAACAACAGCCATAGAAAAAGCTAATCTACTAGCTGAACAATTTGCATCCCACTCTACAGTCGATTTTCTGGGAAATGCACCTCCCACTATTTCCACACAAAAATCCACAATGCCGGAAATCACTTTTCGACAGGTGAATTTCAATATCAACAAGGCGTCTGACATCGAACTTAAAATCTGTGCAAATGAACTCGCACCAGTATTTTTCAGACTTTTCAACCTGCTTACAAAGAAGAGGTTTTTCCTTCTTGTTGGAAGATCATGTAGAAAGTCTTAAACCACCATATCCTTAAATATATGGAAGGCATCATCATCTTAAGCGATCATTAATATGGCTTTCGGAAACAAAGATCAACAGGCGACCTTCTATCGTATGTCATCCATATTTGGAACAACGCCATCGAGAAACATGGAGAATCAAGATCTGTTGCGCTTGATATTTCTGAGACCTTTGACTGTGTGTGGCATGAGGGTTTACTGGCTTGCTATGGCTTGTCGGATCATTTCTGTGTAAGGCTCCTCAGCTTCCTGAAAGAACGTTCCCTGCAAGTGGCCGTCCATGGATATCTCTCGAATACTTCCACCATCAACGCTGGTGTTTCCCAGGGATCCATATTGTCTCCAACCCTCTTTTTATTGTATATCAACGACTTATTGGAAAAAACCAAGAATCTAATATATTGCTTTGCTGACGACAGCACACTTGTCTCGTCATTCCATTTGGATTATAGGACATCGGCTACGGAGGCACATCTTCACCGGCAGCAGGAGGTTGCATATCTTAATGAAGATCTAGAAGTGATTTCAAATTGGGGTGAAAGTAACCAGGTTCAATTCAAAAATCCAGGCATCGGTTTTCTCCAAGAAAATAAATGTCTCCGAACCGAATATAATAATGTCAGGTCAGACAATTCCACTTTCTGCTTCAATAAGATTGTTGGGGGTTAAAATGGACACCAATATGTCTTGGCACAATCATGTCGCTGGAGCTGCAAAAGCTGCTTCCCAAAAGCTTGGAACACTGTTCCGAAGCAGAAAACTGTACACACCTCAGTAACTTTTGATGCTTTATTAAGCTCAGATCAGACCTTCTTTGGAGTATTTTTCCCATGTACGGAGCTCCGCCTCCAAACATACCCTGAAGATGCTGGATGCCATCGAGAAAAGAGCCTTCCGCCTGATTGGAGACGCAAACTTTACGTGTAACCTTGATAGCCTGGAATAGCCTATAATCGGTAACGCAGAAAACTTCTGCCTTACCGATTATACCATTAGAAATAATGTAATAGGACCACTAGCGAAAAGTAGTCTTTCGGACTTTAATGTCGAAAATTTGGTGATGAAATATTAGCGGGATCTGACAGACGGCTCAAAAATCAAAGAAGGCTCAGGATGTGGAGTGTACTCCAGATCACTAAGCCTAAGGATTAAGTGGGGAATGGGAAGAAATACCAGCGTGGTCCAAACAGAACTGGCTGGTATCTCAATCGCCACGAAAGAAATAACCAGGAAAAGAATTTCTGGCAAAAACATAACAATCTGCACTGATAGAATATATACATATATAACAAAATTCACTGCTACACCGGCTTCACAGGGGTAGCAGAAAATATATGCTTACTTTTTTTTCTGTCATAGTGTCACTTCAGTTTTTCCATTAAGAAGGTTCTCGTTAGTACGTTTTGTAGATATAAGCAGTGGAAGCTTCGCTCAGAAAGTTCAAGAACTGTTCAGAACATTCGAGAGCCTTCCAGAAAATTCCGGAATGTTGTGGAATGTTTGGGAAAAATCTAGAATAATAGGGTAAAATCCCACTATGAAACGATCAAGGTAGTAGTTCTCTAATTCTCATCTGTGAAGAAGGTTATCTGAAGGAAGTGCTTTTGAAGATGACTGGAAGTTTCTTCCTCTAGTAGATTCTAGAACAGTTCAGAACATTCCAGAGTTTTCGAGGGTATTCCAGAACATGAAAGAACATATTGGATGAAAAATTATCAGGAACAGCCAGGAACGTTCGAGAACATTCCGGTCATTATGGAGTCATTATATGGAGTGGTAGATCCCTCAGTCGTGAGGAAGGTTCGCATTGTAACAAGGAGGGCGTGATCTTGAAGATGTGAGGGCTGCGAGTTTCACTCTATTAAAACTTCCAGATTAGTCCAGAACATTCGAGAATATTCCGCAACAATTCAGAACATCTCATCTAGGGAGTGTTTGGGTATAATCTGGAACTTTTGGCCTCTTAAAATATCTAGAACAATAGAGAACATTCGAGAGGACATTCCAAAAAATACCTGATAATCTGCATGTTGTACAATGCTCATAAATAGTTTGTAACTTCCAAGAACACCCCGAAACATCCCAAGTGATTATGGAACTTTCCAGAACAGTCTCCAATGCTATGGAATGTTTTGGAACATTTTAGATCATCCGAAGCCTTTTTTGTAAGGTCAGGGCTACCCATTGGTTGGAGTATATGAGATTGATGAAAACCGTATGAAAATCCATTCTGTAGTTTTTAAGTTTATCGCGTTCGGACAGGCGCGGCAAATTGAAAACGAACTGAACAAGTTACACCATCTTCTGACGGATAGGTGAAGTTCCGTTTCATATACGATCCAGTTTCTGTTACTGGCGTTCCGTTTTTACGATGAAGCTTTTACGTAAAAACACTAGATGTCCGTCAGGTAACTTTTAAATGGTTCATCTTTGTATATAGGAAACAGTAAATTATACACGTTAATCTTTCGCTGTCCATTCATGAAAATCGTATGAAAATCCATTCCGTAGTTTTGTTTATAGCGTTCGGACAGCCGCTGCAGATTTAAAACGAACTGAACAAGTGACACCATCTTCTGACGGGTAGGTAAAGTTCCGTTTCATATACGATAGAGTTCCTGTTGCTGGCGTTCCGCTTTAACGACTAAGCTTTTACGTAAAAGCACTAGATGTCCGTCAGGTAACTTTGAAATGGTTCTATACAAAGGTTCTATTATTAAGAATGTGGCATACTTTGAAGTAAGGTATAAGGACACTTGTTTGCTTGTTTAATTAAAAAGTGGTCAAGGAGAAGCGTTAACGTTCCAGAATGGCGCTTATGTTATAAGGTGTGAGCTGAACATTAGTTTCACACAATGTAAAGTAGTTGATTTGTTGATAAGACAAGAGCATCAACAATAAGATCAACTGCTTAGAAAATGAAGTGCAAATTTAGTTGATTCATTTCATACTTCACTTTGTACTTTACATCATCGTACATTGTACTTTACATCATCGTACATTGTACTTTACAATTCTCCGCCAGGAATTAAAAATTCTGGCGAGGTGGCCGTAGGTAATTTCTAGTTTCTTAAACCAATGAGTATTAAATCCATCAGGACCCTGAAATAACGTTACAAACCAAGAATCACACCTTTCTGCATCTTCCGACTAAGAATTCTGCCGTTTCGAGGCAAGCAAA